TCTCTCTGTCTGTGTCTGTCTCTCTGTGTCTTTCTCTCTCTGTCTCTCTGTCTGTCTCTCTGTCTGTGTCTGTCTCTCTGTGTCTGTCTCTCTCTCTGTGTCTCTCTCTCTGTGTCTCTCTCTCTGTCTGTCTCTCTCTGCACACAGACTATGCCTTCGGTAAGGACTGCATCATGCACGGCTACATGTTGAAGTTGGGGAACCCGTTCCTCACCCAGTGGCAGCGCCGCTACTTCTACCTGTTCCCCAACCGGGTGGAGTGGAGGGGCGAGGGGGAGTCACGGGTGAGTCATGTCTTCATGTCATGTTTTCATGTCCATCCGTCCCGAAAGAGAGGACGCTCTGCTGTCTGTCTGTCTCTCTGTGTGTGAACGTTGTCTCTCTGTTTGTCCTCGATGCCACACTGAAGGAGAAGTGGCTCAAACATTTTAAAATGCAGAGAGACGGGGTGAGTGTCCTCACAGAGGTCCAGGTCTCCCCCGCTGTGTCCTCAGCCGTCTTTGTCTTCATCCACACGGATACGTTTTCCTTTTAAAACAACGACCTCCATCCACTCGTTTTAGAAACCTCAGCGTTTCAGCATCGCTTTAGAAAGATGTCCGCCCATAACGACACGCCGAAGAGTGAATATCACGATGCACACAGGAAGTAGATTGGTTGCTTTGTTACAGAGAATACAACAGAGTATTATAGTACTGGTTATATGTATATATTTCCCACACAAGCACTCCACTAAAACACGTTTTATTTTTTAAACTTGGCCACAACGCTGCAGGTCTTATTGTCTCTCACTCACACATCAGATTTACACTTAGACGAGACGTTACGGGTCGATAGATGTGGTCACACGTCTCTCACTCGTTTCCTTGTCTGTTCTCACTCGTAGCTCTTCATCATACTGGAGAGCATTTATGTTTTTGTTCCTTTACGGTTTCTGTGTGAACTTCACAATAGTTGTTCAGAACAAAATAAGTATTAATAAGAAAAGGAAAGTCGTCCTCCTCAAAGCTCTAATGATAGCGTGGCTTCCTGACCAATGGCCTCTGCTTTAGAGGCCCTAGTGTGGACGCTCGGCGCTTCAGAAGGAAGACGTAGCGGTGTGGATGAAGTCTTTGTGCAGACGGTGTAGCGCTGTAGTCCACCTCCCTGCTTCAGACTCCGTAGTGAGCTTCAGTCTTTAAACCAGCTGTTAAACAACAGGAGGAGCTGCTTTTAGAGCTGCGTTAACCCTTTGAACCCTGACGTCTTGACTCATAGTGGAGCAACGGACCGTACGGATCCCCCTCACGGTTTACCCTTAACCATCAGTGTAAATAAAGTTGAATAATTTTCAATATTCAGTAGAGCATGTGTTTCTAGTCTCTGATCTCTGATCATGTTTCATTGTAAACAACCAATCAGAGGAGAGCTAGTAACGT